TATACATACATAAGCAACTGACTAAGCGTCGGTCTACTTAAAGTTTATGTTTACATTTAGGCAAGCAAAYAATTGATTTATTTTTATTAAATTTATACATCTAAATATATACATGCTTATATATTTGAGTATATATTGTATATTAAAAAAAAAACTTAGCTATTTTTCACACGGCAAATAAATTATAAACAAACAAAAAAATACAAAGCAAAACAACCGCTTTTCTATATCCCTCTCGCTTTCTCGCTCTCTCTCTCTTTGTAGCTGTGTCTCCCTCACTCTGACCTCCAGCTTGGGGGTCAAGCGTAACCGTTGCGCCAAAAGCCAACCAAGGATGCACTGCCCAACCAATTAAAAGCACGCAGCTGGAGAGCTCTAGCTGCGGCTCAAGCTCCGACTGCAGCTACGGCAACGCCAACGTCTTCAACTGCAATTCGAGCCTCACTTCAACGTCTAATTACAAATTGGAGTCATTGAATTTAATCGCTGCAAGAAATCCGCATATGCACCTCGAATGCACTCGTGGCACGCACGCCAACTGTGTCTGCAGTCGGTCATAACTCGCTGCCTCTGGCCGAACTGGCACAGGGCATTGCTCGCCCCTGCTGCTTGACCCAACCGCAACGGCGAATCGAGCCGGCATATTCACACTTGGATACCACATGATTTAGCTAACTGTATCATTACAATGCTATATAGTTTCCACTTCAGATCAGACAGTTAAATACTCGGCTGCTACACGGCGAAACTTAGGTATGGAGGAGGCTCATCAATTCTAGCAAATGTTCAGTTATGCTCGGTTTATATCAAGAGATATCTTCTCAGATATGTATGTGTTGGTAGAGGAGATGATGAATTGGTCAATATAAAATGTCTGAGATGAATTAAATGGGTATCCAAAACCATTCTTAGCTCTAATCTGAGCAAAGCTAAGCCTAATTTAAACATTGCGAACATTTGTAGGTGAATGTTTAAATTGCTATAGACTTTAAACTGAATTAAATGCAGAATGAAGCAATAGCAATATTCCTCATATCTTAGCAGCCGTATATATGTATATGTATGAAGAGCCTCCAAAAAGGGAGCTTTAATATTCGATAAATAATGCAACTAAACCATACAGCGAATTATAAAAACACGACTCGCTCTGATGGTTTCATAATCTTTTCATTTTAAAGAGAGTGTTTTATTTCAAAATAATGTTGTATGATGGTGGTGAACTATGATTAATAAAAATTAGATATTAGCCTGAATGTATGTATATGGATCTTATTGTAACTATTTTGGCTGGCTTATCATGTTGCCTCTATGTGGCAATGGGCGTCGCTTCGTTTTCGCCCAGTGGCGCTTTGTTTTTTTCATTCTTCTGCTTAGCGGCAGGCAGTTCCTTAACGCCCGTGGAGCCAAATCCTGCCTCTCCACGTTCAGTATCCTCCAGTTTGTTTACTTCCTCTAATTCCGGATAGAAGATGCGTTCGCATATGAACTGGGCAATGCGGTCGCCATGCTTCACCTCGAAGTCCGTGTCCGAGTGATTGAAGAGGACAACACCTAAATTTCCACGATAATCCTCATCCACAACACCGGCGCCCACATCGATAAAGTTCTTTACGGCCAGCCCGGAGCGCGGTGCTACGCGACCGTAAGAGCCTTCCGGCACCTGCACCTGCAGATCCGTTTTGACCACAGCTTTGCCACGCGCTGGCACCACAACATCGTAAGCGCTGCGTAAATCATAGCCGGCAGCTCGTGCGGATCCACGCTGGGGCGCCAAGGCATGCTCTGTAAGCTTAGCAAAACGCAAAACGCACTTATTGTCGATCTTCATTTTCTTAGCTGCTGGTATATCCACTTTTGCATCTGGCGAGGACATCTATGAATGGCTTTAATTCTGTATTGCAATCTACGCGCAGCTGAGCGAGTTTCAAGCAAAAAAAACGCGGGAACAATTCCTCAAAATGGTCGAAAAGCAGCCCATAGCTTTAGCACTGCTGAGTAGTGGAGCAACACTGAAACCAGGGCTGCAATTATTCGTTGAGTTGCGCATTTGTGCGTTAGTGTGCATTGCATGCATAAATAAATTGGAACAAATTTTAAATACGAATACACAAATATTCAGCTCGAATAATGTGCACATCATATATAGATTTACAATTGCTTGAATTTTTTGTTAAATGCAAATTATCGCACTGGCAAAGTTGTATTGGATATTTATCGATAAGCCGCCACAATTTGTAGTCAGCTGTGAACAAAATCGCATTCACAAGGCCAATTGACCGGTGCGATGGTACAAAAATATTGATTTGCAATACTTGCAACTTAGTTTAGTAATTTAGCGCGTAGATATGGATTTCACAGACTTCGAGGTGCGAAAGGTAGGAAAGACTTGACTTAAAGCTTCCCTATGCGTTAACTACTAGTAAAACATTAATTGCAGTGCCCACCAACCGTCATGTACATTCCAAATTTTATTACATCCGATCAGGAGAGTTCCATACTAAGTCATATAGAGAGAACACCGAAGCCTCGGTGGACGCAACTACTTAATCGACGGCTCGTTAACTATGGCGGCATTCCTCATCCGAACGGCATGATAGCCGAGGAGATACCTGAATGGCTGCAGAGCTATGTGGACAAAGTCAACAATTTGGGAATCTTCGAATCCCAGAAAGCCAACCATGTACTAGTCAATGAATACCTGCCTGGTCAGGGCATTCTTCCACACACCGACGGACCGCTCTTCTACCCAATCATATCGACCATTTCATGTGGGGCACACACCGTTCTGGAGTTCACCAAGCGCGAGACTACGGGCGAGGCCAACGACGGCGTGGTAGTCTTCAAGCTGTTACTGGAGCCGCGCAGCTTGCTGATCTTAAAGGATACGCTCTATAGCGATTATATGCATGCCATTAGTGAGATCAACGAGGACACGCTATGCGATCGCATTTGCAATTATAATCTCTGCGAAAACACCTATAAGATCGGGGATCATCTAGTGCGCCGAGCTCCTCGCATTTCCCTAACTATCAGAAATGTTCCAAAGACGAGTAAAATGAAGTTAAAGTTTTGCTAGACTGTTAAAGCATTGTTGTTACCACAAAGTTGTTAACCACCCACTGAAGTCAGCCCACAAGTTGCCGAGGCGCAAACGTAAATCTAACTCAAAGTTATATATTCGATATTCTTTAAATCTTCCGCTAGACATAAGAAAGAGCACAAAGCAATGTTTCATAATAGTTTCTTATAGCCCACCAAGTGCTTTCATTTCGATTTTATACCAATTATTGATGTAGATACATATATATCGTATCCGTTTCGCAAAGTTTCATAATGTAAAAGTTTCCACAGTGCTTTATTTTTCGATATTATACCAATTTTGTATATAAAGATGTATATCTAAATGATTTATATATTTAGTTACACCAAGCAATATGCAAGCACTTGTTAATGCTAGGTCCTGTATTAAGGCTCGTATTATATAGTTGTATGTATAAATATGTATTCCTTATATGCTTGCGTGTATTTTTGTGACATTTTTAGCACCCAAAAATGAGCAAAATTTGAAATTGAAAATTTTGAATAAATTGTTAATCAATTGAAGACACATCTAACCTTCTGTAGATCCTCTAGACTAGACCTCGTCTTGCCATTCCAGTCGAAACTCCCGCTCGAATACCAACCTATCGTACAGTCGCACCTCGCTAATGCGCGCCGATATGTCCAGACGCAGTTCACTGACGGCCAGGTGAAAGTTCTGACGCACCGTTCGCTGCTTGTCCGGCGTCAGCTGATTGAGGGGTTTCCGGAAGACGCTGATGATGCGCTGCAAATGATATTCGACACTCGCGCAGCGTCCAATGCAAACCCACAGATTCTCCGGATCGTGAATGTTGCCGGGGAAGCGAGTGCGCTGATCGAACGGTGCCTTGCCGGAGAGCAGGGCACGCACCTCCGCCACAATCTCCTGATGGGTCTTCAGGTCCCGTGTACTCAGAGTCTTGAACTCGTATTTGTCACAGAAGTACATAAGATCACTGATCGCGCACCAAGGCTGCGAGCTGAGTGTTGTGTGGTTGTTATTCCAGTTGCTGTAGCCAGCAGCTGTTTTGCTCGACTGCTGGGCCGAGGCTGTGGTCGTGGAGGACGCGCTGGTCTTGGCTAAGGTGGATGTCGAGGAGGTGGTGCTGGTGGTGGTGGTACTGGTGCTGGTGGTGGTGCTGTTGCCGGTGGTGCTGTTACTGCTGCTGTTGGCATTGTTGGCTCTGGCTGCGTCTTGCCGGCTGGCTTTGTCGGCTGCCTTCAGCAGCTGCTCCATTTCCCGCTCATGCTCGCGCTGTCGCATATATGCCTCCTTCTTCTGTTGCAGCTCCTGCAGCTTGGTCAGCTTAGGTGGGGACTGGGGCTTGAATAGCGAGGGGGGAGGCGAGACCGTGCGCGTAGCTGTAGCCGTGCCCATGTCAGAGATCTGTGCCGGGTGCGATTCCAGCTGTGTTCCATTGCCATTTGTGTCCGATGAGGCACTGCGTCCATATTTGGCGCGATACCGCTCCAGGGTGTCCAGGGAGAAGCTGAGCTCCTTTTTTAACGTTTTCTGCATTTTCTGCCTTATGTAATCGAGTTGGGAACGTTGTGACTGCGTGTTCGCCAAGAATTTACAAGCAAATGCGATCGAGATCGAGAAACGGAAAATTCTTGCCGATGCGCGCTCTTTATTTTTATCTTTTATCAATTGGCGGCACCGACGCGCGGACGTCGACGTCGAGCACTTGGGCGCACTTTATTTTGGTCGGATCATACACACACACACATGCACACATATATGTATATAGATATACACTATATTAAGACTGCCAAGAGAAACTCAGTTTTAATAATGATCAGACTTGGTTGCATAAAATTTAAATTGAAGACTAATATAGACACATTGCGGTGGACACTAGGGGGTGAGGGGTAAGTTTTGCCTCTATGACATTGATTGTGGGCTAACGGTGGACGACAGCAAGCGACGATTGCGTGCGGCACGCATCTTCATCATCTTCATCAGGCGCTTGGTGCATTTTTTCTTCATCATCATGTTATGGCAGCGCTTGCAGCACTGGCGACGCTTACGGTGGTGACGCATTGTAGCCACCAGCGAGGCGAATTTCTTCTGGAAGTGTTTGTGCCCGCGTCCGACTCGATGGCCATGCCCATGTCCGTGTCCGGGCCTGCGTTGCTGAAAGCGCATTAGGGCAGTGCGAGGTGCCACTGGAACTCTAGCGGCTTGCGGCAGAGCCTCTTCTATCTCATGCCAATCGCCAAGGGCTTTCGATTCCTCTGCCATTTTATTCGTTCGCCAAACAAGTCACAAGGAATCGGAAACAAAATTGAAAAAAGCTAAAAAAATCTAAAATTCAAAATTCAAGGAGTAAAAAGTATTTTAGATGTGTTCACTGCTGTGCCACAGGCCTTACTGTCCCGTTTGATTTACTCTTAAATATATCTGTTGTTGTCCGAATCGTAGCCTACTCGAAGCTGTGTATGAATATGTATTGCAAAGACTGAAGGATTAGACAGAACAGAATCTTACTCATATATTAAATTTGAAATTTACAATCGATTAATATTTATTTCGTATAACTTAAGATTAAAATTGTGAAGATTTATTTATTTTGTATAACTTTTATTTATAATACATACGCGTATATATGTACATATATCTTTGTTGTATATGTATGCATAAACAGGTTACAATAATAAGAGAGTTATTAAGAAATAAGTGTAAATGGCACACATACAAAATTATTATTTAGATTTGTTTCGTTAAGTACAAAAAATGTTAATTGTGGTTTCTCGTTTTGTGTGCTCTTTGACTTAATAGATTTAGAAATTCCATTAAATTTTTTTTTCACGTGAATTACAATCATTTATATCGTTTAAGAATTGGTTAAAAGCTAAAGTTAACAAATGCACAAAGTACATTTAATACTTTTCATTTGAAGCCGGCTCAACCAGCTCCACAAGTTTGCACTTTCTATATCTATGGACCTGACCTAGTACCAGCGCCCTTCTCGGTGATTCTCACTTAGCACACAAACATGCAACATAGAGAATAGAGCTCTAGAGCTACGTATTGCTTAGCAGAAGGCACAGCATGCACAGGTTGGTAGAGTGTTTCAAAGGTAACAGACTCTTAAGCTAACGCTTACGAATAAATTTACATCGACGGTGCTCAGAGCCGCTCACTAGTAGCAATACGAGGCGGGCACCTCGAAGATGATATTGCCAGCGGAATGTCGGAAATTGGGCACCTCCACATTGGACGCCGCCTCGACAACAATTGTGCGCGCCTTCTCGCCCAGCCTGCAGGCAATGTTGCTGCCCACATTCACGCGCAGCTCCGTGCCGGTGATGCTGTAATTGAAATGGATCAATAAGATCTGATTGCAGTGGGCATTTGGGGGGTAACCTACTCATGGTACTTCTTGCACACAACGCCCACTAGTTCACCTACGCGATCCTCCTTGAGGGGCGTGCCCATTTCGCTTTGCAGGGCGAAGACCAAATCGTTGTTCTTCGGCGAGTGGAAGACGATTAGCTGATCCCGACCAGGCGTTATGCTAATGGAGGTCAGCTAGAAGAAAAAGAGCGAGGCTTTCGGTATAGGCGGACTCCGATTGATGCCAGTTTCCCTTACCTCTCTGATGGCCATGGACCGCTGCATGTCCCTGAACTTCTTCTTGATGCCCTCCAATTTGTAGATGTTCGTATCCGTCACAATGAACGCCCGATCCGCCTGCTTGTTGCGCCTGTTGAACTTCTTGGCGAAGCTGGAGAAGAGCACCTGCCGGATGTTATCTCCTCCGCTGTTCTTCATGTTCCGCACATTGGCCGCGTAGGCGTCGTAGCCGCTATTGTCCTGCGAGTTGGCCAGATAGTCGCCCAGCCACTTGCGCTGCTGTCCCCAGTAGGGTCGTCGTCCCGCGATGGCCGTGGCCGCAATGATTTGCAGTCGCAGCTGCGGCCACTCGCTGCGCGGGTACCTACGGAGTATCATGTAGGCACGCCATTGGTCAAACATCCTGCGCAGCTTGGCCTCGGCCTTGCGTCCTGCGAGGGGCGGCTGGGGCCACTGAATGCTGCGCCCATAGTCGCGCTGATGCTTCGCGTTGCGGAAGCGATTGGCCAGCTCCTGGACGTAGCTGCGCAGCTTGTAGGTCTTGTAGGCGTGCATTATGGTGCGTGCCGCCTTCATCTTCTTGTAGTTCTTGCGGGCTATCCAGCCTCGCACCTGCTTCTGCAGCAAGGTCACAATGTGCGGAATCATCTCGTTGCGCTGCTGCTCCAGGGCGAAGAGGGTGCGTGGCGAGCGAATAAAGATCTTTGTGTGCCCATACTTCACGTCCTGTGCGAAGCCCTTCTCCTCGATCAGCACGCGAACTCCGTCGCGCTCGCTGCCCGCATGGAAATTCGGCCACGTGTACTGCGAGATCATTTTGTAACGCAGCAGGAACTTGTCGTAGCGCTGGCGATGCACGAAGCCGGCGCGACGCACTCGCACATTCTCTAGCAGACCTAAGTAGCGCACCTGGTGCTGCACGCGCTCCTCGTCAAACACCGTGGAGCTCTTAATATCGTTTGGCTTAATGCAGCGCACGTAGAAGGGCTCCTTCTTCAGCAGCGTGGCCACCAGATCCGCCATCGAGCGCTGGAAGAGAGTGCCAGCAGTCAGAGGACGCTTCGTGGTCTTCTTTATATCCTGCGCTCCCTCGGGCCACATTTCGCTGAGGTTGGCGTCCTTGGAGTTGTGCAACAGGCGCTTGAAGTCCTGATACAACGTATCCTTGTTCTTCTCGATGAAGCCAATTATGTTGTAGATCACATCGCCAGCATAGTGGGTGATGCGGAAGTCCTCGCGATGCTTCAACTCCTTGTCCATCGGCTTCAGCTGGCGGCTTGTGTAATGCGGATGTTTGCTCAAATTCTTGTCCATGGCGCCCAGGAGGGTGTCATCGGTGACATTGCCGACGCTCAAGCAGGCCTCGTCCATGATGGCTATGATGCCCTTGTGCGGCTAGAGAGAGAGAGAGCAAATGATCTAGCAAAACGTAAAGAGTGAAGGGTAGAGAGAGAGAGAGGGGAGTTAGAGATCATCCAAATCACGACCAGCACTATTCGTGCTTACTTTGTTGTTGAAGTACTCAATGTTGGTCCACTCGATGCCCTCGCGCTGGTACTCCTCCTGCTCCTGCTTCAGCACCAGCTCTGCAATGAAAGAGACGCTGTTAGGTTCTACTCCTCCAGTGGCATTAGACGCTTCCGCTCACCTATGAACAGTTGCTGCAGCTTCTCGTTGCAGTAGTTGATGCAGAACTGCTCAAAGCTATTCGAATCGAAGATCTCAAAGCCGTAGATATCCAGCACGCCGATCACTGAGTTGAATCTCGCCTGGGTCTTGCTGCCACGGAAGAGTATAGCACGGTTGATGCGCGAGATGATCCACGTGAAGAGGCGATCATAGATGGCCTTGGCCAGCGCGTCCTTGCCATACTCCGCCTGCGTGGCATCGTGATCCTTCTTCATCACATTGCCTCCGGCTGCAATCGTGCGCTTGGTCAGTGCCGTCGACAGCTCCGCCTCGGTCACCTGCAGCATCTTCGCAGCTGACTGCAAATGCGACTTGTTGCTGATCACCAGCTCGTCCTCGATGGCTACGGGGACAACAAGGCAGACGGGCATTAGTATGCTTTATCATTATTAGAGGGTTCCTCTTTGCTAACTCACTCTGGAACTCCACATTGCCCAAATGCAAAACGGATGCAATTGTGCGCCAAATGGTCTGCACCTCGTCCGCCTGGAAGCCGAGCGTCTTGAATGCATTGCACGTGCCCTTGTAGTCGGACTTCTCGGTGAGTATATCCATGCTGCCCTGGTTAAGGTAGTGGTACTTGGACGTCTCCTTGAGCAGATCATACTGACGCAACTCATGATCGTTGGCACCGCGCAGCAGCTGGAAGGGGGAAGAGTATTAGATTATTGTATGATGTGAGTATACCCCTCAATTAATAGACCTGCTAGCTGTGAATATACCCTTTAATATAGTTAGAAACACATCCTCAATGATCTGCTATCTGTTAGGATACCCTTAAGAATAGACAGAGACAGAGTTGCTAGAGAGAGTGCATACCCCTTAGTCTAGACACAGTCCATGCTTTGGCTTGCCTCTGCATCCAAAAAGAGAATTTACAACTATTTAGTACAACAGACAATTAGCAACAAAACGTTGTCCATAATTGAACTTCCGCTTTAATTGTCGCCATTCGTAAACTGCTGAAATGCGCCGTGGAATTTTACTGTTTAGTTTAGAATGAAGTCACATTCTCAGACAGAAGCTCATGTAAGGCCAATGCTACCGAATTTCTATTCCCAATATTAATCAATAACCGGGCCGGCGTGGCTTTGTGGACAACAGGTGCGCAGTGTAGCCACAGATATCGCATAAATTACAAATAAATAAATAAATACGCATGATATCTATCAACTGCTCGCTTGGAGACACTACTTAAAGAAATATACATATGTATATACAAAACTATCTATATATAGTTTAATGAAGAGCTCTACAGAGCTCGAAGCTGAAGCTCGCTTAATTAAGAAATTCTATTTAGTTTAGGTGTTAAATGGAGAAGTAAAGCTGGAAATTCTTTCGTCTCCATAGATGGTCTGAAACAATTAACGCCTTCAAGCTAAATTTAACAGCTAGAAGTCAACAAAGAGCAATCTCTCATTTTCTTTTCAAGTATAAAATTCCAAATAGGAAGTCAGTAGATAACATTTTTTAAATGTCGATTATTTATACGAAATACGATAATGTATAAAAACATATATGAGTAAATAAAAGTTATATTTGGCGAGCTATACATTAAATAGCGTGGCGAGAGCTGATAAAGTTTCATGCATGTGTGTGAAACAAGATATCTTCAAGTTCTAAACACCCAATTGCGATATATAAGAATATATACATATATGTACAGTTATATTTGGCTAGTCAAATATTTCTAGTAAATATATCCCTCAGCTCAGTTAGACGGAATTTGATGATTAAATGGCTGAGCGCTGACGAATTTCAAGCTCTTATAGAATGACAGACTTTTCTGAACTTTCATATATTTCGCATGATATCATTCGCATATATTCATTTAGAATTATACGGAATGGATGGATTGTGAGATCAGAGCAGCGGCAAATATAATCAACGCAATTTCTGAATAGTTTTTGAGCTTTAATTTGAATGTATGAGTGCTTATTGAGCCATAACCTTTGACATGTACAGGCTAAGATTTCGCTAAGTGTATTCATCAATTTTAATGGGTCCACAGCTTCTTGGCCTTATCTCGCAGTTTATTATAATGTAAGCTATTAATACGCTATTATTGGAGTTTTATGACTGCAATCGCTGATTCATAAATATTTATGGCTGGGCATATCGGCAATTGGATACCCTTCTAAATATAAGGAACTATTTTACTAATATTTATTGTCTTTATACATATATATTGTTTACACAGAGTCGCGCCTTGTTACTCGCACCTCCCACCTCAGAGCTCACACCTCTAACCCACAGCTCACACTAGACTTTCGAATGTGACCCGCCCACCTGCCTAAGCCACCCCGCTGACTCACCTGGGCAAACAGCTACACACCCACACACTCGCACACACAAACGTGGGCCCTTACCTGGTAGAAACTGTGGAAGTTTCGCTCCCCTGGCTGCTGCTGCACCACACGCGACTTCTCCAGCAAATAGTTGGTTATGATGCCGCCCACCGGATCGGCCTTGTAGTCGAACTCTATGTCCATGTATTTGCCGAACCGGCTGGAGTTGTCGTTGCGATTCGTCTTCGCATTGCCGAACGTCTCCAATATCGCATTGCTCTGGATCAGCACGTTCTTCACTCTGCAGGAGAGAAAATCGTTTATTATAATTGCATTTTTATTAGGGTGGACCCACACCAAAAAAGTAATTAGCTAAATGGCACCAATCCCCCACCTGAGCCACTAAATAAATGTCAGTTTAAATTGTTTTAACTTTGAGACACTAAAAATTGGCAAAGTGGCAATTAACTTCGGCTTTGTCTAGGGTTTGGCTAAACCCAGCGCTGCCTCAACGTCTCCTCTTCTCTGCTTTGCTCTCATCCACTGTTTTTTATGGCCCATAGTTCGCCCTTAAATTGCCATGGAGCGATTACGACCAAATGCCTTTGTATAGCTGAAAGCGTGAGCAATTAGCGTCTCACTTAATTTCGTGCAGTTTATTGAAGACTCGTATTCGCCGAGTGATGTCATACGTGGTTCACAGTTCACCCAGCGCACTGCTCTATACCCCCCTTGCGCCTCGACCTAGGGAATGCTCTAATGAGAGCTTCATTTCGCATTTGCATGCCGCACAATGGGAAACTTGTGATGCCTTGGCCTTCTCTTGAATCGCGTCCCATTCAAATGCTGGTTCCCAGTCTCAGGCTGAATCTCAAGCTTCATCATTTCCATACTAATGTGGATTTTGTGTGCACTTGATAATACAGTTAAGTGAACCTGAACCGAGCTTCTCATTAGCCCATGAACTAGAACTAGTTCTAATTATAGTACATATGTAATCAACCAATCAACCACCATCTTGTTTTTACTATTTGTGATAAGTGCATAATTGTATAATAATATAAATAATTGTATAATCAGTTCATTAATTGATATAACCGATATATAAAACATCAAATGAATTGTTATTCAATTTGTTGAAATTCGGAACTAGTTCCCCTCTACTTATATTTATATACATATATTGGGATGAGTTAGTTAAATTACCTTTCGATTTCATTTTGTCCCTGTGCGTTCGTCACTGCCGCAATATACTTCATGATGATCTTGGAGGCTTCCGTCTTGCCCGCACCCGACTCACCAGAGATGAGGATGCATGTGTCCTGGTGGCGCTGCTTGAGCACCCTGTATGCGGCGTCTGCGATCGCAAACACGTGCGGCGCATTCTCGAACAGCTCCCGACCCTTGTACTTGCGTATGGTCTCCGGGCCGTAGATGTTCATCTGTCTGTAGGGATTCATCGAGACGCACACCTCGCCGATGTATGTGTAGATGGAGCCAACGTGGTAGCTGCAATCAAGAGTCATAGATTAGTGTTTGTTGAATCCCAATCAAATCAAATTACACATTTAAGTATCTCGACTGACTATACAGGGGTCGAATGGACCCACAATGGGCACTCGACTGCCTGCCGTGCACCTGTCTGATTCCATTCCCAATTTGTTTTTCAACAAACCAAATCGACCTTTTTCTGTTGTTGATATGATTCCCCCTCTCCAGAGCTGGATTAGCCACAGGCGTTGCTCAGTTGGATTGAATTAATATGCCCGTGCCTCTGTTGTTGTTGTTATTGTTCAAATCAATTGAATTTCTGTTGCATTTAATCTTGATAGAGTGCAAAGCGCGTGGCTGCATTGTTTGTTTATTTTGTGCGCAGTTCAGTAGGCGCCAAAAGATTTAGATCGACTGCTCCCAATGCAACAGGTCCGAATCTAGGCCAAAGTTCGGGGCAAGTGCAGGCTATTGATAAATGTCTATGTATGTGTATAAGTATATATATCAGAATGACTTAACGCATATCTGGGATGCTTAAAAAGTTATGTAAACAAGCAAAATGAAAAAATTAAATCAATTTTCATTCGAAACCCCAATGGAAAATCTCGCATTTTATTACAGGTCATACAATATATATTATAAGTTTATAAGTGATTCTTCTTCTTCTTTCTTTGGCTGCCTACAGATATTTGACTAAATTTACATCAGCTGATCAGCTAGGTAAGCACCTCAAATTCAATTATAACTTGTGTTTAATTGGTCCACAAGGCCTTGTTCAATGGTAATACATTTACCAAAATACACTGTAACAAGAAGTGCATCACTTGTAGGTGTTGGGAAATCGTGAGCATGTTACATGTTACACTGTTACAAATACAAAACAGAAAGAGGTTGGCAGCAAACATAAGAAAAGGGAAATGGCAACATGAAACACGGTGTGCAACAGGTGAGCGCAGTTACAAAACTGTGGGTTGCCCGTTGGCCACGCCCCCATCACAACTGACTGCCGAAACAAAACGCAAGAAATTAACAAGCAGTAGAGAAAGAGAAGGGATTAGGAGTGATAGACTATAAGCTACCCAGCTATATCCCAGTCTATCAAACCCTATCAACGTACGTGGTACGTGGTGAAAAAACGAAAATTAGAAAACCTCTAAGTCAAACCCGTCAAAACTAGAGAAATTGTTGACAGCCCAAAGCATTGTCTTGGCCCGCAGCTTGAACTCATGTATACAAATATATATGTACATATATATTTATATATATAGCTATAAAAACAATAGGTCTTAATATTAGTATTTATTGTTGTTTCTGTTGTTGCCTTTGTCTTAGCTGTTTGCTGGGGCCAAACGGCAGTCAACACATGTTTTTACTTAAGTTTTCTTCGGTGTTTATTTATAGAGGTGTCTAGATTTGGGTCACAATGTGACAACTCAGGCGGAGAGACAGAGAGCGACGACAAAGAGGCGGACAGAGAGACAGCAGACAGACAGAGCCGAGAGCTGCTCAGAGATGATTATGTTGCCCCACCGCTGAACTACTGAACTCTACTGAAAGGGGGCGAGAGCAGCGTTTAGCACGCTTGTTGACTTTTTAGCACAACGGGTCACATTTCAAATCGGAATCAGAATTGGACTTGGAAATGGAAATGGAATTGGAATCTCGACAAAGGGCAGTCAGCAAGCCGCTTAGCAAACTGTTTATGCGATTTCTACGATTTCGGTCTCGTCTACCCCTTCCCTTTGCTCGCCGTGCCCCACCGCCTGTGGCACTTGGCTGTGGGTGCCGCCCACGTAGCGTATGATTGACAGACAGCCAAAATACAAATATGCCGGCTGCCTAATGAGGTTATAGAAATTGCTTGAGGCAGTGCTTACGGAGCACTGTGCGAGCACACGCACAGCACCATGTGTGAACTACATTGTGTCCCCATATCTCACATCACAGATCTGATCGGGGTGACATTTACAATGCTGACAGTCCGATAAAGTTGTCATAAGTTTAGTGAGCTTCTAGGGATCAATGAACCTCATTATTCATACATTTAATACCCGTTTCAAATTGTTTTCCCCAATGTCCAACTACTATTTCCACGAGCACAGCGATATGTCTTTGCTTCTTCGCACTTCAAGTTTTATTATCACACATTTAAAAGTCCATTATAGACTTGCTGCGCGCTTAGGGGTGTCAAGTGGACTTGAAGTCCCTGCTCTAATCCCCCTTTTAATACAGAATATCATATATGTTGAGTCTCAACTAAATTTTATTTAGAGAAATGATTCAATATTTGTGTGCAAATTTGTTGTTCACTTCTAGATCTGCATCGCTTAGCATAATTTGTTAGCACAAAGCAAGGGTATATATATATTTATATGTATTTATTTGATCGGAAACTAGTCGAGACACGCCCACGGGTCTCAACAAGTTTTACGGAATTCGGAACTAGTCTGCGCCATGAATATCTATATAACAAATGAACGAATTTAAATGCTCATCGCTCATCGCTCATCGCCTTCACGCGTCCACACATTCACATTGAGAGAGGTCGTTATTCATTGCTATTGTCGAAGATTGCTGATTTTTGTATTTAGTATTTCGAATATTATGCCAAATGGCGTCATCAATGTACAAAAAGTTCCATGGGAAAAGGCGCCAAAAAAGATAAAGATTCTCAACTTTTATTTCTTGTTTACACAATTTGTTTGTTCTACGATTATTATTACGTCTCCAACTATTGTGAATCATTCAGATTCAAATAGTGAGTAGAGCATTAGCGCCATAAATAAAAAGCCTCGTAGCCCGTTGGCTGACTAAGCCTTTGTTTAATTGCTCAATGTCTATTCACATGCAAATTGCATTGCTTATAAACACTTACTTTACCTCGCGATGATTCATCGAGTAAGCATTCGTTCATTCATTAAGTCATTCAAGATTTGAGGGTTGATCTAGTAAAAATTGAGAAAATCAATAGCTTCGCTCATTTTCCGCTGCACTTTTCGCTAGCCAAGGCGGCAACTGACGCTGACGTCATCAAATGGCCAACAGACTTGGCTCTAAGTAGGTCAATGTTTCATTTGCTTTTTGTGGATGTAATTGAATTCAGCGATTTATCGATGTGCCAAACGGAGAGCGAATAGAATGGAATTCAGCGGTGATGACAACTGACATTGCGTGAGAAGCGCAGAGAGAGGCGCAGAGAGGGGACTTGCTGCAGCTATATATACGACTATGATAAGTGCAGGGCGAGGTCTTGCTGAACAGGCAAGCGCGATTATCAGAATCCCAGAGACTACGTCATTTATTTCTCCGAATCTTTGACAGATGTACTACTATGAAATGTGAGTAGTAAATGTAACATTTACTTATAGGATCACCAAGAAAGGCTCTGGATAACAAAATGAGATTGTAGATTGTAGAGTTTCAGTATACTTGCATGCCTGCCAGAGACACATGACACACATAACAGTCGAGAATCCATTTCAAATGATGGCATCATCTGCTTCGAATCAAATGCAGATTCAGAACTGACCAGTTTCAATTTCTCAGCGCAAAACACTTTCCATTTTCAATGGAGGAGGATCTGGTGAGCACGACGATTTCTGGTTTTGCGCAATGCAATTGCATCTTTCAAATTAACTTCAATTTACACCCAGAATTGTCTGCGATGCGGCCCAGACGCATATCAATTAGCTGGCAAGACTAAACAGGCGCTAAATTCTCGGACTCGACATGGGCATAAATTTTTATGTAAACGTTGTTTATAGTTTATTGGGTGAGCGGGCAGCTGGCAACGCCGAGTTGCAGATGCCCCCAAGTAAAAGTTATTGCAACGCGAATGACAAACATGAACGTTTCAGCGCTCAACTAAATAAACACAATAATGCAGACAGCGCTGATGTCTAGCTGGGCGTCATAGTCCGGGAAAGGGACGGAGATGTGGTACAGGGCCCAGATACCTGGAATCTGCCTCTGGGACTGGGAGTCGGCAAGCTGCTGCTCGCCATTTGTGTGACTTGTATGTATGTATTTAGAGTAACAGCATTAAATGGATGGGAATGTGACGGGAAACGGGACATCATGTAACACAGATAGATAGTGGATAGTGGGAGAGGTTTTAGAGAATGTTGAATGTTGTTGTTGTGGCTATAACTACAGTAGATTATACCCTGGCGCTGACTCCGAGTCGAGCTCAACCCCCTATCTTTCATTCACTACTCCATTGCGATAAAGTGCAATACCTTAATATATATACAATATTATTGATTGCAGGGTATTCACAAGCTCAGCACACTCTGGTTTTTGCTGGCATTCATCAGTCAGGTATGACTTCAATTGGATCGCTCATTGATCATTAGGCCGTCTCGGCCAGCGCGGCGCACATTAGTGCAAAGAACGTGGCTCAATTAGACGAGCGCCGAGCGATGGCCAACGATTGCCATTCGAATTGGCCGTTATGTAAATGATTTGATTTCCGCTCTGGGCTTTTATCAGAAAGGGCTTATCAGAGTGCTAGAGGGGCGGCAATTGATAGCAGCTTATCAGAGAGCGCGTTCTCGCGCAGTCAGGCATATGGAATGTGTCGTCTAGCATTGGCTGCCAGACACCTAGCTGGATGCATAGATGGGCGCCTGTGGACGATCGTCTGTGCAGATGAAAGCGAGTCGAGGTGCGCTGTGAACTGCGCGTTCGTTATAATGTCTTGCATCTGGTCGATCATGCACAATCTCGAATTAGGTAAAGTTGCACTGGTCTTTTGTACAAATAAACAGACGTGCTCTTTGATTGCAATCGGAAATTGAAAAGGGAATTCGTAAAGCTTCTTTAATGGCCAATGGCAGGCACACTGCATAAACATCAGGTTCTTTCTTTCTGATTTTCTTTTTTCATTCCGCTTCTTCTTTCTTGTTGGCCCTTTAATAATTTTCCGAGACGCCTTCTTTGTAATCAAGTCTTGGCGAATGCTATAAAATTGCATTTATAAACAGTTCGAGTGGAAAGTCATGACCCAAGCAGGA